AGTCAAGTTGAGGGAAGACATGGGACGAATGAACCTGGCAGAAAAAAATGTAGAACTGGAGATGCCAATGTCACACTAACTTATGCTCTCCGCTTGAAAAAAACGTGTTCTGAGCATACACATCGGTCCTGCATTTCCGGCAAATGACAGAAAAGGGATCAAATGATCTCATCCAATCGAACTGTGCATGACAGGAACATGATCGCTCAATCCAACATACTGTATTCATGTCATTCTGCCTCTTAAAAAAAACACCAACAGTCTGAAAGCTTCCGGCCACAAAACAAAAGAAATCTATCTTGCCAACCAAATTCAATACAGGCCTAGATTGAATGCAAAACTCTTCCAAACGTGATGGGACACTAACCCATCCAATACAAGTAGGCCAAAATACATGTCAAGCACACCCTGTGTCTGAAGCTGAAGCCCATAACACTTGTTATTAGATGTTATTAGTCATATCAGATCTAAGAGTTCTCAGATCAGAACGCTTCTTTGTGATCAGAGGTCTTTATCCATTTTGATCACGCGAAAAGAGTTTTTCGGATTTGTTTGAGGCTACACCTTTCACCATTGTCCATTTTGATGTCTGTCAAATGATAAGCCAAAGGCCTATGTTTGTCATGATCACCAGTCTCTTCCTTTGCCTTCTTTTCATGGATCATTTAAGGCATATGGCAAGCCGTTCTGATCGGTGACAGCGGGGCAAGAGCGAAACATGACGCTGTTGGGCTTCGGAAGTTCGTTCGGAAGTTCGGTGGTTGCGCCCGGCACATCTTCAGCGCAGTCCATTCTACTCTTGATGTTTCTTGTTGTACTTGGATTGACGACGACACAGTTGCAAAGTGGGTTGCAAGGGTTTGAGCATCTTCAACATTTAAACAATTGACAACTCGTTTCCACCCGCCAATGACAGTCCCAGACAGCAGGTGCTTGAAAGAAGCTGGACATGCGTTGCAATTCACCAAAGAGGCCCAGTTGTCTCTGACAGTTGTACAGCCGTGACTTCTTGCAAAAGGGGTGGTGGCATCTCCAGTGACAAACCTCTTCGCCAAAGGTGCACAAAAGGCATTGAAAGTCTGCGCGCTGAAAAAGAAAGGTAAGCCGTAAATAAATGAGAACCACGCGAGAGAGATACTCCAAGGGTGGAACCTGGTTGACTGAGGACCTGGTCTGACAGGCGGGATTGTTGATAGTACGTTCAAACGCCTCCGCACAATCAAATTAAGCAGTAGGCCATGTTGGCTGCTTTCCACTTTTCCCGCACAATGGTCTATCCGCATGGCCAAATGCCGCTGGAATGCAATTCTTGCGACTTGGCGATACTTGGATTCGTTCACACGAGAAGGCCTTGTCGTGCTTTGGCCCATTGAGCTATCTTACCTGCTGGTCTTTGTACAAGGTCAACCCTTGATCCACACAAAGCTCATAATCTGGGAAGGCAGGTCGTTCCAGCGTGACCACGTAATGCACGCTGGCTCTGTGTCCAGGTCCACTTCGCCTGTCAAAAGACCGCAGGTAGAATCCAAGTTTGACATCAACTACTGTTTGAATATGTTTGAATAGCTGAATGTGGCAATATGATAAACGAAAGTTCACACCGTCCCCTGTCCAGCATCAAGCTGTGTGAAGCATCTCAAACACAAACAATGCAATCAGTTGACGGCCTGGGTCGTTTGTTCAAACATCACAATTCACCCCTAGGCCCGTAGCGGATTCTGCAATGAACACGGATTCTTGAACGAAGAACGTGGACTGCTTTGAGGGCTTGGGCAGAGAGCAAAAATCATGAAGCTGTAATGTAATAGCTACATCTCCTGCGCCAGCAAAGAAGCATGATCCAGCTGTGCTTGATGCTCCCAGCTATGAGTTAGCCAGTCTAAATAAGTCTATGTTGTGATTGCTAGGTAGACTGACTTCTTGCTATATACAGGAGTTTGAACAAAAAACATCAAATCAGCGCAGGAAAAGTGTCTCCATCTCGAGCAACCCCATTCTTTGATGATTGATCTGTGCTCTGGCAGCCTCTGGCCACCACATCTTCCTTCCATATTGTCACCTCAGTGACAAAAGAACAAGGTCTGCTTGCGGGCCTAAGTCATACCAGTCATCCTGTGCTAAAGCACCACACTAGCCAACACACTAGTACTGTAGATTGCCATACCAATTGCCATACCAATACTCTTGCCTTCAAGGGCTACGCCTGTTTCAACTTATGTTCCGGGCACCGCGTGACCAACGGCTCAATCGTGCCGTGGCAAAGCAGCTGGAGATCGTGCTTATCTCCAAGGTGCCACAATTGTGCCATCAGAGATCAATGATGCCATGGACGCCATCGTGTTGGACCAAAAGATCTCTCCGCTTTGGATGTGTGCCTGGCACCGTCATCCGGCACGAACATCGGGCACTTTCCGTCCCGCCACAAGATGCGAATCCAAACCTCTTGCTTCTATTGTCATGGGTGCGAAGAAGTCTAGAACTAGAAGTTAAACTCTTGTTAAAGTATCGGCCAACGTTGCAATCGGGCATTTCCTCTCATCAAGCCACGTGGTGCCTGTAGCACTGGCAACGGTGGCAGGAATCTACGGAGAGGTGTCTACACTACCTCTTAATGCCATGCCCTCATACAACCTCAAATCAAGCTAGCGTCACTACACAAAGAACCCCTGCACAATAGTGAGGCAACAACGGTCTATATAAAGTCTCATGACAAATGAAGTATCCCCCCCTCATCTAAATTATTTCCTAAAGCAGCAAGGGGGCCTATGAGGAAGTGACCGGAATTCAATCTCTGCATGCAGCAGTACAAAGGGGAATGAGGTTGGATTTAGGGTGTTGAAATGGCAGTCGAACGTGTTAAAGACAATGCAAAGGCATTTTGCAAACGCTTTGGACACGACACATGCAAAGAAGTTGGCTTAGTCGATAGCATGATTTCAGCTGCACGCTGTGTTTACAGTCCAGCCTTCCAGCCGATCCAACAATGACTTACCCATACCGGGTTGAGCCTGCCGGCGATCAGTTCGGGGCAAATGGAGAATGCTTGGAAGATTCAAGCAAATTACGGTGGGTGTGCAGAACCCAAACTTGGATACGGATCTTGCGCATACTGTTTGATCACACGGGTTCTGACATATTGACAATCTATGACAATCTTTTGATGTTTATTGCTTTTTTCTTAGCGGCCACGGAGTGAGTATATACTCCCATGTGCATTTGAGCGTACAACAAACTTTGCTCTGAGCAACTTGTCAACGACACCAAACAACTACCCCCACATCGGGCTTCAAATGAATGCATTCTGCCGAGATTTGCCTCACTCAGCCGCTGCAGCTCCTTCAAAGGT